CTTTTGTCCAAAACTTTTTATCACATTCCTTAAAAAGAATAGTAAACATTATTGTCACTTTGAGATATCAATGCTCAATATATTTGACGATTACACTCGGAAAACGTACTCGGCAGTGATAAGGTTTCTCAGAATCAGAACAATGAACTCTATAATGATATCTTAGCTGTGCATTAGTTTTATACGTGTTATCGCATTTGTCACATTTGTACGGACGCGACGATGAATGAAGTGCTTCATGGGTTGTTAAGTGGTCTTTTGTCCAAAACTTGTTATCACATTCCTTAAAGAAAATAGTAAACATTATTGTCACTTTGATATATCAATGCGCATTATATTTGACGAATACAATCGGAAAACGTACTCGGCACTGATAAAATTTCTCAGAATTAGAACAATGAACTTTATGATATTTTAGCTGTGCCTTAGTTTTATACGTGTTATCGCATTTGTCACATTTGTACGGACGCGACGATGAATGAAGTGTTTCATGGGTTCTTAAGTGGGTTTTTGTCCAAAACTTGTTATCACATTCCTTAAAGAGAATAGTAAACATTATTGTCACTTTGAGATATCAATGCGCAGTATATTTGACGAATACAATCGGAAAACGTACTCGGCACTGATAAGGTTTCTCAGAATTAGAACAATGAACTTTATGATATCTTAGCTGTGTCTTAGTTTTATACGTGTTATCGCATTTGTCACATTTGTACGGACGCGACGATGAATGAAGTGCTTCATGGTTATTTAAACTTTGTGTTGTACTCAAATATCTATCACAGAACTTAAAAAGAATAATACACATTATTGTCACTTTGAGAAATCAATGCGCAATATATTTAACGAATACAATCGGAAAACGTACTTGGCATCGATAAAGTTTCTCACAAGAAGGATGAATGGTAACTTGGTGCTCCATATTTCATTTACGTTGAAAAGTTGTTTTGCACGTGTCACACTCGTATGAACGCAATGATGAAAATGGACAGTTTTATAAATATTCAAATCGCATTATTATACAATAGGTACATGATACATTTAGTGAAAGATAAACAGACTGAAAGAAAAAAAAAGAAGATTGAGGATAGACAGAAAGAAAGTAACAAACAGAGCAAGGAAGAGATTACGTAAGAGAGAACATACTTTAGTGTATATACAGAGTGTCCGACAATTACATTAAAGTCTGTCGGAGGCAGGTAGGAGTGAATCTGAGTCGAAAAGTCTTGACTTAATTTTTTTTATTTTATATAATAAAGGAATAATTATTGAATAAATTAAGCCAATCAGCGCCGATCTTCAGCCGAGCGGATTTCAGTGAGCTGCGCGTCTGGTGTGCGTGATTGCTCTGCGCGTCTCACTGACATGCGCCCAGTTAAAAGTCGGCGTTGATTGGGTTTAGTTACTCAATAATTACTCTTTTAATATTTATATATATATATATATATATATGTAATAGAAAAAAATGGTTTAGTTTTATTTTTCGACTCTGTTTTACTCCTTCTATCTGCCTACGAGAGATTTTAAAATAAATGTCGAACACCTTGTATATTATCCTTACTTTGCGCACGAATCGTTTTCTGTTAGTTACGGTAATATCATCAATAGACTGTTTCAAATTCTTTTGTTTCTCGTAATTTGAGAAAATCTTTATCAATATGCGTAAACATTTTGAACTGAGACATATATATACATACGTGTGGCGTTTGACAAACACTGAGCAAGGAATCATTTACGGAGAAGATTTCTACAAAGAACACGATGTGTATACGTAAGAGCACAAGAGAAAACTAAACGTTTTGCTCGGTGATATGTTATCGCAAAGGGAACGAAAACTTAAGACGTAAACACGATCTTGTCCTAGATATAAATATAAATAGGTAGAAATGTTATTGTATAGTGACTTGGTGTGTAGGGGAGACAGATAATATGTTCCATGTAAGTAACAATTTGGTGAAATAACTGTGACGATTATTTGAAAAAAACAAAATATAATAACACCTCAACTTGGTTTTTAATTCTACTTTTTCAATGCCTATTCATAAAAATTCACATTCGGTCGGTCGTAAGTCGAATTTCTTTTTCAATTATTGAAATCATTGTACTTCGTTATACATCGATTCTGAATGCGATGCTAATGAAAAAGCAAATGGTTTTTCTGCAAATAGATTCCGAGCGTTTAGATGGTCCAGTAAGCAAATACGAACGGAGACTTAAAGAAGAATAGAAAGAAACTAAAACCTAACAGGGTAATCGGTTTACGATAGGAAAGTCGGGAGACTCGCGTTACACAAACTTAAGTTGCGATTAAAACAAATTAGATAAAACAAAGATGCGTACATGAGATTGAAAGTGATCTTGATAAAGACTCGTTTACTGTTACACACTCGTTATTTAAGTGGCGATCAGCACGCTGCCATTTCGCACACCTCATCTCGATACATCAGCTCGTGAAGGGTTGAGACGAGCCCACGCAAACTATACAACGCGAATTTATACTTGCATTAATGCCTGCTCTTTTGTCTCGTACCGCTCTATCACAGCTCTTGATTGCTAATGTATGAAAATTGCTCGCGGTAGTAATCATAATAAGGATATCAAGCTTTACTTCGGTTGTTGCAATATATATGTTTGCGATCAGCGCGTGCAAATGTCTTCTCGCGTGATACCCTGTTTAGGTGTTCATGAAATAGAAATTCGCGTGCGCAGATATTATTATTGTTAGCGTAATAAATATTCCGCGATATTTTTCCCTTATTGTTTGATTCGCAGTTGTATTTGAAATACATTTTCGTGAAAAGTTTAGGTAAAGTGGAGTTTCGCATGACATACACACTCTTTACACACAAGTAGTTTCCTGAAAATCGCTGCACAGATAATTGTTGGATAATAATTACTTTATTTTAAGATTTAAAATTGTGCAAAAACAACAATATTTTTATGTTGCGTGATACAATGTTATTCCGTAAAGTTTTAGATGTTATTGTCTCTTTGTCTTTTTTGTTACATAAAATTTTCTATTTGTCTGGTTTGTTACATACAATTTTCTGATATTAACAGATTTCGTATTTATGTGTATATTCTTGCATGCAGTTTTGGATGTCGTTGAAATCAGCAAAGCTTCGTCTACAGGTTGTTCCGGAATGAATAGTAAATCTTGCAAGAAGTGAAGTTCGACTTTTTACATGGAATTTATAAGTTTTTGTTTCAAGTTTGGCCTACACCATTATTTACCGAGTTTTTACCAATTAAAGTTCTTCAATGAGACAGCGCGTATATAAAGTATGCAGGAGCGTCGCGCGTTGTGCTACTCCTTACACTTGTCCCGATTACATTGCTTCTGGGAAAACTTTATTCTACTATGTCACACTAGACAATACTTGAATAAATAAATACAACACGTAGAAATTCTTCAACTAATTGATTTATTTAAGAAAAGTAGTGATACATTGTACAAAATTAATGAATTCATAAATAATTAATGTTAATTGTGTTTTTTTACGTTTTTGTTATTTAAAGGAATAACTCATATACATAAATAGATGAGTAATTATTATTTAAATTAATTTACTTTGTTTATAAATAAATAAGTAATTCTAATTTAAATTACTCTATTTTTTTAAATAATAAAAACGTAAAAAGACACGATTAACATTAATTAGTTATATATTCATAAATTGTGTTCAATGTATCACTACTTTTTTGAAATAAATTAATTAGGTGATTACTTTCTACCTGGTTTTATTTTTTTTTTCATGTAGTATTTAGTGTGACATAGTAGAATGAAGAGTTAACAGAAGAAATCGAATCGGGGGTGACAAGTGCAAGGAGTAGCTCAATGAGCGACGCTCCTGCATACTTCGTATACGCGCCGTCTTATTGGGGAACTTTAATATTTAAAACTCGGTACATAAATAATGGTTTAAGCCAAGAATGAAAAATGAACTGTTTGTTTATAATTTTACCCTCTTTCACTCCTTGTACAGTTACTCATCATTACGGGACATTGTATGTTTAGTACATAAGTTCGGATTCACTACTGTGAACTGAGTCAAATAGACATATATATTTATTTCGATATACTTATCATAGAGAAACAGTTAATACTACATCCTGCAACAAATAATAAACTTTAATATATATGTGCGATATAAAAGTGTATGTATTAAAAACCTAATATATAGTACAAACATATATTCTAAATGTATTATATGTGTATATATATGTATGTATGTGTATGTATATGTGTATATATATATATATATAATAACATACATAATGTGAAAACAAAACACTGGTATTATAATATTAGTACATATATTACATGTATGCACATACATTACATATATACATATAATACATATATTACGAATATTATTAAAAACTAATTAGAAGATATAGGCCAATGAGAGCATATAAACACAGGTGATGTAATGTTGATTCTTTAGTAATTTATTATTCTATTATCATTATTCTTGATTGACGTTTGTCTTTTTTAAAATTCTTATATAATAACAAATCGCTGGGATCAATTATGGTCAGTTCTGTTTTTTAAAGGCAAGAGTATGGTCAGGAAGTGTTCATTTCATTCAACGCAACGACGATCCTGTTTTTTTAAAGTGATAACAGCAACTTAATGTGATAAGAGCGAGTGATTCAAGTTGCTGGTATTACTTGGTAAAGACAGGATTGTCGTTGCGTTGACTGAAATTTACACCTGACCATAATTAATCCCAGCGATTTGTTATTATATAAGGAGTTTGAAAAAGACCGAATACGACGGTCGAAACGTCAATTAAGAATATTGTTAATAGAATAATAAATTACTAAAAAATCAACACTACATCAACCGTGTTTATATGCTTTTATTGGTTGATATTCTCGAAGTATTTTTGAAATTCGGAGCATCACATACTTTATTCAGATTTATTACTGAAAACCTTACTGGAACTTTTATACCTTTCTTTCCGTTTGCTTATTGTTTCTTTCATGATACATCTTGTTCCTCAAACAGTACTCTTTTTTTATAACTCTCTTCGCATATATCACATGTATAGTGAACACAAATTCCATATTTATCTTCCAGTATTTGTGACTCGAAAACATTACCACACATCTTAAAACGAATAATACATATTATATTCACTTTAAGAAATCAGTGCAGTATATTTTATTAATACATTCGGCAAACGTACTTGGCACTTAAATGGGTACTTAAAATGACGTTTGATATGGATTTGTAGATTTGTCTTGGTTTTGAAAGGTTGATCGCATATGGCACAGTTGAACGGACGCAACGATGAATGAACTGCTTCATGTTCAGTTGAACTCTGTTTTGTACTTAAACGTTTACCACATATCTTAAAAAGAATAATACACATTGTCATTTTGAGAACTCAATACGGAAAATATTTGATGAATACAATCGAAAAACATACTTGGTTTTTAGAAGGTTTCTCAGAATCAGATTGATGAAATTTAGAATGGTTTAGTAGATTTGCCTTAGTTTTAAACGTTTTATCGCATATATCACATTCATACGGGCGCAACGATAAAAGAACTTTTTTATGAGCATTTAATTTTTTTTGTGTCGAAAAACGGTTACCACATTTCTAAAAAAGTATAGTATACATTATTGTCACTGTGATAAAGTAATGCGCAATATATTTAAAGATTGCAATTGAACAACGTACCTGACACCTATAAGATTTTTTACCAGAAGAATGATTGTTACCTTGTTGCTCCATATTTCACTTACGTTGAAAAGTTGTTTTGCACGTGTCACAATAGTATGAACGCAATGATGAAAATGGACAGTTTTATAATTATTCAAATCGCATTATTATACAATAGGTACATGATAAATTTAGTGAAAGCTAAACAGACTGAAAGAAATAAAAAGAAGATTGAGGATAGACAAAAAGAAAGTGAGAAACAGAGTAAGAAAGAGATTACGTGAGAGATAACATTAAGTATACTTTAGTGTATATATAGTGTCCGACAATTACATTAAAGTCTGTCGGAGGCAGGTAGGAGTAAAACTGAGTCAAAAAGTCTTGACACAATTTTTTTTATTTTATATAATAAAGGAATAATTATTGAATTTATCAAGCCAATCAACGCCGACTTTTAGCCGGGCGCATGTCAGTGAGCCGCGCACCTGGTGTGCGTGTGTGCTCTGCGCGGCTCACTGACATGCGTCCGGCTAAAAGTCGGCGTTGATTGGCTTGATTTATTCAATAATTACTCTGTTAATATATATATATATATATATATGTAATAGAAAAAAATGGTTCAAGATCACTTTTCGACTCAGTTTTACTTCTTCTACCTGCCTACGAGAGATTTTAAAATGAATGTCGATATCTTGTATATTATCCTTACTTTGCGCACGAAACGTTTTTTGCTAGTTACGGTAATATCATCAATAGACTGTTCTAAATTCTTTTGTTTCTCGTAATCTGAGCAAATCTTTATCAATATGCGTAAACGCTTTTAACTGAAGATCTATATATATACATACGTGTGGCGTTTGACAAGCAGTCGACTCCAGTGAGCAAGTAATCATGTACGGAGAAGATTTCTACGAAGAACACGATGTGTATACGTGAGAGCACAAGAGAAAACTAAACGTTTAGCTCGCTGGTATGTTATCGCAAACGGAACGAAAACCTAAGACGTAAACACAATCTCGTCCTAGGTATAAGTATAAATAGGTAGAAATGTTATCTTATCGTGACTTGGTGTGTGGGGAAGACAGATAATATGTTACATGTAAGTAACAATATGGTGAAGTAACTTTGAAGATTATTTGAAAATAAAAATATAAGAACATCTCAACCTCTTTTTTAATTCTACTTTTTCAATGCCTATTCATAAAAATTCAAATTCGGTCGGTCGTAAGTCGAATTTCATTTTCAATCCCTCGAGGCACGTTCTGTTAGACTTTTCCATTGAATTTGCATGGAAATCCTCCTGACACTGATTTCATTCGATCTCCGCTGCCGTCAGTTTGTCGTGTTACGTCGGCCCTCGTCATGCATTTAAACATTTTCCAATATCTAGTTTTCAGACTTACCGGCGGTAAATGCGCAGCTGTTTTCTCACATCGATCAGGTCAAGAAATCGCGTTATACTCGCGTGCTTGATATTTTTTTCACATTAAAGGGAGAAAATGAAAAACCGTAGCGAGTTAAATGTTAATCTCGAAAACGCGCGAATAGATTTACTCCTTTGTCGGTGTAGTCCGATAAGATTTTCTTATTGAAAAAGAGTGGAACAAAAGAGGAGAAAGGTCGCAGGAAGAGAAGCAAGTGGAAAGTTTTGTGGAACATGTTACCGAGAAAATCTAACCAAGCAACTTGGTTCCCGTTCGTGAAATACGTAAACCCTATCTCGAGTTCACACATTTCCGGCGACCTCTCTTTTTCCTTTCGTCCTTGTGTCCTCTCTGTTTTCTTGCGAAGCGTTTCTAAAGCGACAAGTTGTTTTCTGTGAAACGGATTAAATTGTTCCGCACCGTCACTGCGCCAATTGAAAATACCGGATGATGATTTTTTGCAGTAAATAAAAAACAAAAAGAAATAAAATAAAACTGAAGTTTTTCTTATCTGATCTTTTTTGAGCGCGCTGTTAAAAAAAAAAAAAAAAAAAAAAAAACAACCAAGAAAGACAAAATAGCAAAGTATATTTTAACATTCATTATATATCAGCTATTTTTCTCCTTAGTTTTGTAACGCTTCGTGCATTATATATGCAGAGACGAACGAAAATATTTTTTTTCTCCCGAACTAATTTCATGTTTCCATTTAATAATGAATACACGTTTTATATTCTCGTATTTCATAATGCACATTACGCGCAACTCGTAATTAAAATATCGGAAAATCACATTTATGTATGATAAATGAATAATTTTATACAGCCTTATAACAAGATTCTATTAATAATTATTTGTGCACGATGAGAGCGAAAGAAGAGCTCACGTTCGGAATATGCATTTGTAATTTTTCTTTTTTTTTTTTTTTTTTTTTTTTT